GCTGAATTTAAACTGCTTAGACAGTTCTGATATTTTTGAAATAATTGAGTTCTTAGGCAAATTTCCTACTCCTGTTTTAAGCATCAAGTGAAACTAATTTTGCCCCTCAGTTTGCTGATAACGGGCAGTAGTCAGCTGGAGCTTTGGGATGGTGGTGATAAAATGACAGCTACTTTAGTCTTCTGAGCCATTTCTGTGAGGTTTGAGAGACATAAACATTCCTCTGAAAGAAGGGAAATGGGATAGAGGCGAGTTAGTTTCTTAACATCAGCTATTTCTTACTATTGAACCCTAACTAGAACACTAATCCCATACTTCTGCAGCAAAGGAGAACCCATTTCACCTACCTTTTAGGTCCTGAACTCCCCAAGGCAAGGGGGGGAATCTTAAAGCTTAGAAATAAAATTTTAAAAAGGAGGGAGAAAAGACAATTTTTCCTTTTGCACAGGCTACGAATCAAGTGCAGATGAGGCGCACGTCAGTAGTTTGTCTCTGTATGGAAGCACTTCTCCCTGTGGGTGGATGGGTGAGCTGTTACAGAATTTATATTGGGAATCTGTTTCTAGAAAATGTTATTTATTGCAAATGATAATGTATTGTAACTGGAACCATTTCTGAGCTGAAACTACATTTATGTAACTACTAATAAAGTTTTGCCTTTCCTTCTAGGAAGTTGTCAGGTACTCTTTTAGACATGGTATTCTGTATTGGACTCAACACTCAGGTCAGGCTAATAGAAATAGGTTCTATACCACAGCCTATGTCTGTACTCAAAAGCAGTGCAATATCTGATCCCTTCCCTTCCTACTGACAAAAGCAAAATGGTATCTTTTTTCAGAGAGGTAACATAATTCAGTACATCAGAGAGCAGGAAAAAAAATTACTGCAGTTCACAGTAAGAGTTTTCATGTAGTGCTTATTCTACTTGGTTTAATTGGCTGTGTGTGAATATTCACTGGCTGTCATGCAAAGTGTGGTGATTTCTGAAGTTTTGTGGCTTATTCTATAGCAAATCCAATACTTGAGTGTTTGTAAGTACAATGGCTGCTTTGCAGTAATTGGAGATAACCCAAAATACTGCTGCTAGGTAGGGGTAGGTTATGCTGCCTGTTTCTGAACTGGAAAAGAAAAATCCATGCATCAGTGTGTGAAGTTTGTGATAAATCATGCTAATAAAAGGTACTATGAGATACAAGTGTCTTTCTGTAAGGAAGAAAACACATGCCATAAAAGCAACTTTAAGTGTATTTGAATATGTGGTGCCTTTTGCATTCATACTTGACTCCTACAAGGGACTACTGGCTGCTGAATGAGCTGATGAGATACATACTGGCCTTGATTGAAGAATGGAATCTGCCTGCTTGTTGTTGCACTGTACATTTGGGTAACAGCAGTAGCCTCCCCCCTCCCCTTTGAGGAGGCTGATGCAAGCCTCTAGACTTGTGCAACAGGAGATAATCGGTAGGGATTCCTAAACAGCTTAAGGCAGTTGCGCTAAGTGATGTCAGCGTTCACTGATAAAGTAAATAAACCACCAGCTTCTCATGTCTTGGAAGGTCCTATGCAGAGAGTTTTGACACTGAAAATGCTTTAACCAAGAGCTAAAATTTAACTTAGAGCTTCTGAACATCATACTTAAAGGACAAGGTTTAAGATAGTCTTTCCTGCCATAAGCAGTAGGGCTAGGACAAAGGGCATGACCTGTTACACTTCTTACACCTCTCCCAGTTACAGTGAGACAGTTACTTCAATGCCAAGTCAAAGCGTGGAGCTTCGTTTACTTACAAGACTGCCCAACTCCCAACGTGTGCCTGATCAATTTAGACCAGTAAAAACTATTTTACTCTGTGCAAACCACTTAAATTGCTGGTTTAAGCACAATTAATCATAAAACCATAAAATGTATCTAAAAACACCAGTGTCTGGGAAATTGATAGGCTGCAGCACACTAGCCTGTTTAAACATTTCCTTGATCTTGGTGAAAGTGTAATCTGCCAGCTACTGTAAACAAAATTAAGTACTAGATATTGGTGAGGCTTGACATACTTCTTGGTAAGACTGATTGTCTGTCTTCACTGGTATTGGATCAGTGTTACTAGCATCCAGGACCTCCCTTGCTTACTCTAAACACCCAAGGTAACTTTGCCAGTTTAGCATGCTAATGGACAAGCATTACTTAGAGTGACTTGCAAAAAAAAAAGCTTGTGCACTGTGGTTGGAGATAATTTCTGCCTGTTTAAGCTAAAAATGTTAATATCTAGTAGAACAGGAAAACATACCTTAAAAGTTTATTACATAGAGGAGACAGGCAGTGGGGGGGTCAAACAACAGCTGTTTAAAGGGTAACATAAGAAAATAAAACTGAATTGTCCGTGACTAAGGTTGGAAATTATAAGACAGTTCATTCAGCCTCAAGTAAGGTAATAAACCACAAAATCCAGTACTTTCATAGAAGTTATTTATTAACTGAAAACATTTTTCCACCACTGTTTTAATATACAGAAATTGCTGAACTATCACAAGTGTAATCAACATAACTGAGGTGTGAGAATTCAAGTGTATCTTCTGTTGAAGAATCACAGCTTTTGCTATGAAGACAACTTTAAGATTACTCTGTGCTTAACTGATGTAGACCTTACTGACACAATGATACCATGCTGGAATCCAACCACAATCCAATCTAGACAAAGGTATTTTTGAAGGTTATTACATACCTTTAATTATGGTTTGTGCTTGTTATCAGGCATAGTAAAAGGTATTTGCTAGAAAAAAGTAAACATTTACTCATTAACAGTGCTATTCTCAGAAATGATGTCAAACTTTAATGTACCAATGCATCAGATCAATAACTTTGCAATGAATAGAGCAGCAGGTTAAAGAATTTATCCTCCAACTGCACTGTTGCAAGAAGTATGCCCCCATTCAAGACTGCACTGTCATATAGCAGTAAGTGAGGTAACTTTAATTTTGACCTTATACTGCAGTTCACAGTTTTTAAGTCTGTGCAGTTTCAGTGTCAGATAGTCTACCTGTGTACAATACCCGTAAGTGTACCTGCATCACTGTATTGTGGTAGCCAGGCACCAAGTTATGACCTCGTCCTACCTAGTTACTCTTTCCAATAAGGAATAAACACGTATTGGCAGCCCAGGCTGGCAAACAGCTTCCTCTTCCACAACACCCTTTTCCCCAAATTCCAGCAGCCTGTGTGTTCAATAGTGTAAGCTTAGAAGTTGGCTATAAGAAAGTTTCTTGCAACTAGTATAGAAATAGGCCATCCTTTTTTAGTTCTTGATAACAAGAACATACGCTGCAAACGACACCATTATTAAGTCCTCACTATCTTCAATCTGCGGTTTTGGTGCAGTGGAAATTACTGGAAGGGCTGTAAGCATCCTTTAACTGCCCTTCAGTTGGCATGATGCACATACACTCTACTGACAGACAATGTGCTCCAGACCCACCTGGTCTCAAGTGTTACACAAATGTAACGATAAAAAATACTTAGAAATAAGAAGTAGCAGTCAATGCTACCTTATGTGCGCTTTTAACAAGCCCTGTGAAACTCAGTTCCAGCTTGCCTCCCACCCACCCCCCAAGTCTTGCGTTCTCTCATACCTCTTTGCCTGATTGGATAAAATACCTTAAAACATCCCATTTCATAGGGTACATTCATTAGTCTATAGGAAGAAGAGCTCTGTTGCCTCCTTTTATTTATTTTTAATAATTAATGGGTAAAGCCCCACTAAATAAAGTTAACCAACAGAGAAAACAAAATTTATTTGCCTCAGCTTCTGCAGTGCTGATTTATTTGCCAAATTAACATTGCACATTTTTTTAAAGTGCTTCTTTTGACTGTCATTAAAATAATATTTAAACATCATTGTTTATTTCATATTAAGGAAGCTTTACATCGTCTTTTGAAGATTACAAAATAGTGAGGTGATGTGTAGAAGTCTCACCTCTAATCAATTCTGTTTAAATCTTTATTAGATCACAAGTTAGCCAAGTTCAAAGGTTTTTAAACCTTCCTCCCTAATGAACATTCACCTGTGTAACCACAAATCCAGTTCAAGGCACAAAGCCTGTAGGAACAGAACCATCCATCTGCTCATGTTCTTTGGAGGTGGTGAGTAATGTTCCTTTAGACACTGAGCAACATTTACACCAGTGACTGAACTTCTACCCAAGGAGAGTCACATTCTTTTCATGGAAGGGAGTTAATCTATATCATCATGTCAACACTTGTGCTTCCTTCACACAGCCCTGATAGTGTCCCCTTACAATTCTGCAAGTTATTCCTGCAAGTAAGCATCCCATCTTCCTCCTGCTACTCACTAAGCCAGCAACTCCTTGTCCTGCGCTGGCCTGTACCCAGCACTGCTGGGGCTCACAAACATCAAACAGGGGCCATATTTGATCCCAGGTGTGCAAGCCGTTAGGCACAAATTACAGCTTTTTGCTCAGAAGCCTAAAGCTGAACAAGTGGCAGCTCTGCCTGCATAGATGCCTAGCTGTAGCTAAAAGCAATTCCTCACCTTTCATAAGCATCAGATTCTCCCACAATTAAAAAAAAAGAAAAAAAGACAACGCCTGCTTCTAAAAGAAGGTCACATAACGACATTACAAAATGTAAGTATTTACACAAAATTATAAAGGGAGACTACTGTCCCCCAAAGCCTCCCACATCCCCATTGAAAACAGTAGTTTTCAAAAAAACAGGTCTAGTTTCCCCTTGCCATAGGTTATGATCTATTTTCATTATGCTCAACTCTCCAAGTCCTCCCAGTCACTCAGGGGTAATCCAAGAATAATAGATGTGCATTCTTCCCTACTCTGTAATGAAAATGATGGACATTGTGATCACAGTCCTGAAAAACTGAATGTGTACATAAAAAACATGTAAAAACATATGGCAGCACAGAATACTGTAAATATGTCTACACATACAGAACAGGGTTACTTAGTTTTAAAGAAGGTAGAAGTTGCATTCATACATATTTCTGGTTCAAAAAGCTTAATAAAACTACAGCACTCTTTTCCAAGCTGTTGGGATTGTGCTTTTTGGAGATTTCTATAAGCCTCCAAAGCAGACATATTTTATTTCTAAGTATTCATCTATGCCATATTTTGAACCTTCTCGCCCTAAGCCAGACTGTTTTACCCCACCGAAAGGACTCTCCACTGACGAGACTATGCCTTCATTAACACCAACCATTCCAACTTCCAGCTGTTCTGCAACTCTCCAGATCTGAGCTGGATCTTGGGAGTAGAAATACCCTGCCGTGCAGACACAGAGATACAGGAATGAAAATTAAAATCGGGAAGAACAATTGCAGAAGACTGTGAAAAATAGACTTACTGACATTAAAAATCGTCACCCCGTAACACTAAAGCTCGTAAAACCATAGAAATACATTTATCTGACAGAGAGGCATACCTGCTAAACCCACATTAGCTGCATTTGCTATAGCAACAGCTTCTGCTTCAGTCTCAAATCTGTCAGTATAAAGAGAAAAAATACAAGTGAGGCCTGCAGTTCATCTACCATCTTGCTGACTTACTGACATGAAGCAGCCTTATCAGAAATAAGTAAGTCAAGATGCAGGTTTTTTTCCAGAAGTGTATTTTAAACATTTAATTTTCACTTTGAAAGAATGGAGGAGTTTCTACCACTTCTTTTAATTTAAACTGCAGTTAAGTAGTTAAGATTGCCTTTATCCTCCCTAGATATCGGTAGCTAAAACATTTACTTCACATGGGTTAGCCCACCAACTTCCCCAACTTCACAGGCAATCTCAACTATAAGAGATAACCGTATGTTCTTCCATCACATCCAGTTGCTCTGGACGGAGGCAGGGAAGGTTTTAAGGAGAAAAGAGAGCTCCAAGTCATCCTCCATCAGAAAAACTTAGGACTAGCAAATCACATGACAAACTGCAAAGACCTGCCTCCTACTTCATACCACAAATCACAAAAGCAATGAAGGTTTTGCTGCTATCTACCCTTGCTTAACTGCTGATAGAATTTAAAAGAAAATAATTTTCAAAAAGCTGCAGAGAAGCTAAAATCGGGTCAAGAGAGAGAAACAAACCAACCACATACCCAAAGGAAGCTTTCACGTGTGTCTTATTACAAGACTTGTGTGATCGTACAAAAATATCTTTTGGCAAGCTGTCATTCAAATCTTATTTAATCAAAATAATCTTTCATTTGTTTTTAATTGCTATTTTTAATCTGGAAAATAAATAATCTTACTTGATAACTGGTGCTAAAGGGCCAAAAGTCTCCTCTTGGGTGCAAAGCATTTTTGTTGTAACGTTACTAAGTAATGTTGGCTCAAAGAAATTCTTCCCCAAGCTGTGTCGTTTCCCTCCAGTCACAACAGATGCTCCTTGAGAAACTGCATCATTAATGTGTCTCTCTACCTGAGGTATGCAAAACAAAAATCTCAAAGTCAGCATTCAGGAATGAACAATACTGTTTTTTCCACTGAGGAAATAATACTCTCCAGTATTAACAGAAGATTTTGAAGAAGACCATTTGCAGAATTATTTAAAATTTCTCTTGAATTTTTATTTCTCTCAGTGTGAAATAATTTCAGAGGGATAAATTGTGAGTACGGCCCCAGTCTCACAGATATTAAAGATTCAGCTTTTCTGTTGAAAAGATTACAGCTAACATAAGAAAAAGTCTTTGCAGGACTAAGAAGCACACCTGATATCGGTGATTGAGCACTATGAAAACAGTAGTACATGACTGTCATTCAAAGAGAAACAGACAACTTTCAAGATGGTACTGGCAAGAACATTTTCCACCCCCTACATCTACAGTTCGTCCAAAGACAAAAAAGTAAGGAGAAAACTAAAGTAGCAGTCTCCACCTAGAATACTGTCCTTTGAAATTTCAGAAAGGCAGTTAAGTGACTATATACAGTGCTTGCTTATTTGTTTATGTAGCTGTAAATGATACACATATACTGTGAAGCACAAAGGGAAGGCATGAAGGAAAGAAATCAAAGTACTGTATCCTTTGTCACCCAAATAACTCTATTTTCATATTCTATTATTTTATAAACAGAAAGAATCTGGCAGCATTCAAGTACAATGGGATTCAAACCAAGCCTGCATATAACTGAGCCATAGTATCTTATTAAGTACGAACCACATAATTTAATAATCTGTAAACTTAGGAAGGGTGAAATATTACAGAAAATGTGACTTACTGTGATTAAAAAAAAAAAAAAAAAAATCCTGGAGAAAGGAAAGAGAAGACCCAAACCATGCATGTAAGGTTTCAAGTGATTACAACATGCAGAGTTCTGTTATTTTTAACCTCAATGTAGTATTCTGCTTAGCTTTTGCCAAACAGAGGCACTGTTCTTCAAAATAAGTTGTCGTTCACATTGCTTCAGAATTGCAGGATCACCACACAACTCTCACAGTGTATCCAATTTCAGTAAATGTTCTGAAGAATGAGCTAGGAAGTAATCAGGAGAAATCAGTTTCTCATAAAGGAGGAACCTCTTTTTCCCTTAATGGAAGTAGGGGAATGAGACATTAACTGGCCACATCTCTTTGTTTGTGTGTATACATGGACTTGCAGGACAGAACACGCTTCCAGCCACACTGCAAACACATTCTAACAAAGCAAGTGTGAAAAAAGTGAAATAGAAATCTGAAGTTACTTTAGGGATCACAAAAAGGAAATTAAGATGTCAAAAATGAAATCTTTTATTTATACCTTCTCCACTGCTTTTTCATTAATTAGTGGCCCTTGGGTAGTTTTTTCATCAAATCCACTTCCAACGTGTAGTTCTCTCTCTATAGCTTTAGCAAACTTTTCCACAAATTTGTCATGGATTCCCTTTTGCACCAGGAAACGATTTGTGCAAACACAGGTCTGAAAACAAACATGAAAAACAAACAGTAGTTTATATTGGATTTAATCTGTCCACGAATTCCTTCTGGCCTTCATGCCACAGTATCAGGTTACTACAGTGATCTGTCCTCTGCCTCTTCTTCATCACCTTAGAGCTGTTACCTAGCTTTGCCATTTCTTTCATCACTCCTCTCACTTTAAAAATACAACTTCAACAAGCTGCTAGTACATGTGTGAAAAATGTCACACTGCTAAATTTAAGTCGCTTACGCTGGGAAAAGGTTTTGTGAGTTCTGTGGACTCTGATATAGGGATCAACCAAGGTCCAGAAGCTGCAAGAAATACCTTCTGATTAGACTGCAGAATGCTGGACTGAGCAGCAGAACCTCAAATCACACTTGGTGGTGTGGGGTCTTTTTTTCAAACTCCTTCATTATTTGAGTTTGAGTTTGCTTTCTTCCTGGAATTTGTTTTTAAGTGCTTTCAGTGGCCTGCTTATTTGTGCTACCCCTTTGCTCCGACTGCCTCATATTTTGATTGCTACAGTCTCTCAAAAGTAATGGCTATTTTATCCTTCTACACAGCAGCGGAGGTGCCTTTTATATTAGATCTTGTTCAAACTCGGTCTGATCACTCAGTGGTCCTTCTCCATGTTCCATTCTATTTTGTTTTCCTTTCTTTCTTCCCAAGATTAGCCTTGTATTTTCTTCTTCTGCTATTCAAGCAACATTTCCTAACCAAATGACCTCTCAATCCCAGTGAAAACTTGCTGCTTCTCCAAAGTTGGAGTTCATCAACTTCATGTTCACGCAGAGAGGTAATACTCTAAGGCTGGAACGGTCTCCACACAGCCCTGCTCAGCTGACTGTTCTGCAAAGTGATGCTCCTAAGAAGTTTTTGACTCTTAAGTAAAATACATTTGAATGTACACTTGAATCCTATCTATCGCTTTTTTTAAGCTACTCATTGTGGAAAAATCTAGCCATGAGTGTCTTTAACAGATTTCAATCCCCTTAACTCCTGCTGGGTGCTTTCAGAACATAAAAAAAGACCTGAATTGAAGACCCAGTCTTACAGATAGAAGTATTTTATCACGAGACTTGAAGCCATTATTTTTAGAAATGGCTAGGCACATGTTATAAAATATAATCCTGAGAACTGAGGCAGGGTAGTGTCTTTTCACAGCCCTAGTTCTCCAATTAATTTAATGCTAACAAAGAGTATGACAAAGTGCCTTATCACTTCTCACACTCTTGCGAGGGGTCCTAGTGAGCATCTTCCTTCTCAGTGATATTGTTGACTGCCATGTATGCTGTGAAAGTACATGGGATTTTACAGTGGTGTTATTCAGACTTGCTGATACCCGGCTTGAGTGGCCAGAGCCGTGTGTGACTCCAGCGTCTTTCTCTTTACAATGAAGTATCCTATGCTTTCCTTTTACATAAAGTAGCTTATTTACAGCTTAAATTATACATACAGCTCTTCACCTTCCAGAAACAAGGACAAAAAAGGTTACTCTTACCTGCCCTGAATTTCTATACTTAGAAGCGAGAGCTCCTGCAACAGCACGGTCCACATTGGCGCTGTCGAACACTATAAAAGGAGCATGTCCACCAAGCTCCATGGAAACTCGCTTCACGGTGCCAGCTGCGTGTTTCAGCAGTATCTGTAGGCAACAGAGGAGACACAGAAATCTGTACCTCTACCAGGTGTGAACTGTGGAATCACAGATGGAAGGCAGTGGAAAACTTAACTCTCGCAGGGAATTTATCTGCATCTTCTTTATAATGCTAGACCATCTGTTTTCTCCTATGACAAAAACAAGGACTAATTTCCTTCATTAAAATCTTTAGAGATGAAATGAGAAATAATGAAGAGAAGAATTTTCATCAACTTCAGGTTAGCCTTTTATACGCTAATATTATCACTCTTGTTTGCTTGTTCTCTTCTTTTTGGTAACAAAAATCTTGACTGCTCTTATAAAATTCTTCCAAAACCCGACAGAATTTGAGATTCAGATTTGCTTTGATACCAGACCTTTTCTTCATTCTGCCTACAGCCATCCCAGAGAATTATATCATCTTCTGCATCAACTCTGCACTTTTATTGATTTCATTAGAGATGGTGACAAGATTGCTTATTGACCAAGGTCAATAGGAGAGATTCAAGGGCCTCACTTCTCTATTACTTTCTCTCAATTGCAGAAGCCATTCCTGAATAGTACCTCTGAAACTCAATTTCAGTGTTCTTATTAGTATGTTGTCATTCTATGATATGAAACAAGAGCATCTTATACAGAACTGGTTACATCATAATTTAATAAAGGGAAGCTGCACATGGGCATCCTTCTGCGAAGTACTGATACTAAAGTAAATAGGCAGCATCTCAAGTAGTATGCAATTATTTGGACAATCTGTGTACAGCAGCCAGAAAAGAAGACCGTCTATAAAGGCACACACTTTCCCCCCACCTTTCCAGTATAACCACAATAATAATCTTCAAGGATATTCTGTGCACTTACATACCTTTCCTGTTGCTGTAGAGCCAGTAAAAGATATTTTCGCTACCAATGGATCAGTGCACAGAACTTCCCCTACAGCTGGTGTCTGTTCTCTGGAACAAGGAACAACATTATACACTCCTGCTGGAATTCCAGCCTGGTTTGCAAGCTGCAACAACAGAAACACAGAGTTTGCATTATCAGTGCATTTTGTATAAGGAATAGTCACTTAACGTTCATTTATTGTTTGGAAGAAACCAGTCTGTAAGTCAGTGGAAGCCAAAAGTGCACAGCACAACTAGTAACAGATGTCACGCTGTCAAGAGAGCAGCTTTGCTCCAGTTTAAGCTGGCTGTCATTCAAAGTAACTAAAGGAAAGGTATAAAGATATTTTGTGTAGCTAAATGGCCAGGTCCTCTTTGAGGCTCTAGACCATATCAGAGGCAACTTTCAAAGATTCTTACTAAACTAAAACCTCTGGATCAAGTCAGCCAGTTTGCCCTTTCTTCCTGTATAAAGCTGGCCAGAGTAATCTTCAAAGCCCACCTGACTCCCCATTTACAGCTTTGGTCCACTGCTAAGATAAAGCTTAGCATAAAAGCTCACCTCCCCAAGAGCCAATGCTGATAAAGGTGTGTCCTCTGCAGGTTTCACTACCACTGTACAGCCAGCTGCCAGAGCTGCACCAACCTTCCGCGTAATCATAGCGCTGGGGAAATTCCACTAGGAGAAGAGAAAAAAAGGGAAATTCCACTAAGAGGAGAGAAAAAAATACAATCAAATTTGGGAAAATATTGCCTCCTGTTTTTCCAGAAATAGCTGACATTTTCTGTAATTACGTATAACCTAAACAGACCTGCATGATGCGCTTTGTCCTAAGTGAACATTCAAAAGAAGCACTGCTAATCCAGGAAGAAGCGAGTACAAGGTAGAAATGAAACATTACAGGGGTGTTTGCCAGGGCTGGAAGAGCCATAAGGCCACAGCCCCATGTTGTGGGCTGAGCTGAAAACCTTCACATGATTTGAAAAATTGTGCTATGCTTACTGGGGTTATAATGGCTGCCACTCCAACTGGCTGGTTCAACCCCCGGGGTCT